TTAAGAAATTTCAAATAATTAATCTAAAATAATAAGCCATAGTCTTAACAAAGCAAGGGAAATTTAATCAATTTTCCTATTTAAACCAGAATCAAAGGATTTATTTCAGCCAAAGTTTTTTATTTTAATAAGTTCAGTTTTTGATGCTACTTTTAAATGAGTAAGAGTTCTAACTGTAATTCATTCAAATTTTGAGTTTTATATACTTTATTAATTCTTTTTTCTATAGAATATTATAATAGCAACACATATTCTAATCAAGATTATCTTACCTAAATCATCTATTTCATTCGATTATTGTTCATTATTATCTAGTAAAGATGGATCGTAAAATATTTAGATATCTCAAAGTTCTGTTTTACAATATAAGGAGCATTAATCGTGAGACGAAGAGTTCATAAATCATGAAGGACAATATTTACTATCAATTCTAATCAAAAGGGATTTTGCAAAACTAAAAAAAGAATTAATAACATCAAAATCATTTTTATCAAAAAATAGAATTATGATATCAATTATACAATTATTCTTTTTTAACAACACTTAGTCCATTATATAATTTGTTTTAAGTGATCATCTTAATTTTATAGCTTTAATTATACAACCTAAAATATATATATAAAATAAACTAACCTTGAGAAAGGTTTTTTACTCAAAAAACATTCTTTGCTTGTTTTCGAAAATTATAATCAATTATTTATTTTAATTAAATATGGGTATTCTTGAGCAGATTTTCTACTCTCCCGTTTCTTATGAAAAAGATATACTTTTACAAAATTTACAAAAGTTTTTTTGATAAGTCAAATTACAATATAATACTAAATTCATCATAGATTTTTGATAAGATATTATTATTACAATGATACCTGATAACAAACAGGAAGATTAATAATAATATTCTTTCCTCATTATCATTTGTAAGTTGTAATTTTCAGAAAACTATTTTTCATTTTGTTGAATAAATTCTTAATATGCTGAAATGTTTAAAACTGAAATTCTAATTATTTTTATGCTTTCACAATATATTTAAGAGCAATCTACTTTTTCTTAAGCTAAAATAACCAAAATACATAAAAGGACAGTTAATGGTTGGCAAAACGATTGAAGTCTCAGATAATAAATTTGCAGAAACCTCTATACTATAGTAAATCAATAAGAAATAACTTATGTTTACAATGGGTCAATATTGAGAATGTAAAAGTTGATATCTATGTTTAGAGATAAAAATTATGAAGGGTATCAATAGATGACCAATCTTGAATAAATCAATTATTTATATTGGAAGGGATGTTATGGAAATAATATTTAGAGGGTTGGATATTGGATGGCTACATGGGATGGAGAGGCTTTGATAAATGATGGAGGGCATTACAAAGATGATGGTAGAAAGGAGGGTAATTGGGTAGAAATAGTATCGACTTTTTGTAATTTATGTATTATTTTTGAGTATTAAATATTACAGCTTAAGTTTATGAAATAGGAAAGTATGAGAATGGCTTAAGAAAGGGAAGACGGAAGTATGTCTATTAAAATAAAGAGTTGTAATTATAATTCTTATCTAAAGAGGAGGTTATGAGTATTGTTAGTAAGGGGAAAAGAAAGGACTATGGAAAGAACTATAAAAAGGATTTCAGAATTGTTCCTAGGTTTTTTATAATGGGGAGTACAGGGGTTGTAAGAAATTTGGTAGATGGGATATAGCTGGATCAACCCTATTAATAATAAGCCAGAGTTGATGTAAAATTTCATTTAAAGTTGATAATTAGTGGTAGCAAATCATTAGATGAAAAAGGAAATGGTATTTAAGTAGGTCCTTAGATCGAGGTGTCAGATGAATTTAATGTTAATTCTCAAATAACTTATAATGGCGAATATAAAAATGGGAAAAAAGTTGGTAGTTGGGATATTATGCATAGGGAGCATTCAAATTATACATTTAAATTCGTGTAAGTTTTTTTATGAATCTATATTCTATTTAGCGGGGGTGGATCCTATGATGAACTAGGCGAAGGGATTAAAATAGGTAAATGGATTGAGCTATTCATGATTTTTATAATAATTGCTAAGTCACATACAGGGGGCAGTATAAAAATGGAAAAAAAGTTGGTTGTTGGGATATTTTGTTTAGGGATGATTCTATTTATCCATTTCAATTAGTGTAGAATTATTATGTATTATATTTAGCGGAGGTGAACCATATTATATAATATGTGAGGGATTTAAACTTGGTAAATGAATTGAACTGTCAGAGGGATTTGATGATCATTCTTAAGTAATATATATTGGTGAATAAATGGTAAAAAAGTTGGTAAATGGGATGTTGTGTTTAGAGAGCATTCAAATAATCAATTTGAAATGATATAAAAATAATGTTTTCTAATTTGCCTAGTGGTGTCGGATCATTTGATGATAACTGCGATCAAATTAAGTAGGGCAGATGGATAGAGTTTTCAGATGATTTCCAAAATGATTCTTCAGTAATTTATGATGGTCAATATTAAAATGGTAAAAAGGTAGATAGATGGGATATTTTTTTTTTGAATTTTAGAGGAAAAAAAAGCTTCTTGATTAAAGAAGTTTATTAAGCTTATGTAATTAATTTTAGTGGTGGTGGTTCATTTAATAAGCAAGAGTTTCCTTTAAAATAGGGTAAATGGATTGAGCCGCCAGATGTAATTTCAACATTCTTTTTTAATTAACATTTGTTGGTGACTATTAAAATGGGAAAAAAGTTGTTAAATGGAATATTATGTATAGGGTGGATTCAAGTTATCGATTTAAATTGATGTAAATTAATTTTATCTGATGTGTTTTGCAGTGGGGGATCATATGGTGATAAATGTAATCAGATAAAGCAAGGTAAATGGATAGAATTTTAGAATCAACTTGTTGAGATAATTTATTACGGAGAATTCAATAATGGAATAAAGTTGGCAGGTGGAATATTTATTATAAAAACATTTTTAAGAATTAAGTCAATTTTATGTAAATTAATTTTTACTTATATATGCACAGTGGTAGGTCATTTGATAAGGTGGAAAAGGGAAAAAATTAGGTAAATGGACTTTGCCATGTCATACCTATTGTTATGGTTAAAATATAACTTGGAAAAGAAAATATAGAAATGGGAAAACAGTTGGTTAATAAGATATTTATGGTTGTGGAGATTTTGTAAGTAATCACTAGATGTAAAAATAAATTTAACAATATTTATATTTATATTTATTTAGCGGTGGAGGAATATATGAAAAAAAGGTTGAAGAAGTTAAGATTGGTTATTGGATTGAGTTATGGGATGGATTTGATTTTTCTCATAAAGTCATTTTCAATGGTGAATATAAAAATGGTAAAAAGGTTGGTAGATGGAATATTTTGCATAGAGTTTTTAGGGATTTTCCATACTGTTAAATGTTAAATTGATAATTTATTAAAATATTTAAAGTGGAAGTGGATTCTATGATGATGAAGGAGATGATATTAAGAATGGTAAATTGATTGAATGGCAGAACGATTTAGTTGTAAAGACTGAAGTAAGTTATAAAGGTGAAAACAAAAATGGAAAAAAAATTGGTCTTTGGGATATTCTCTTTTAGGCTGATTTAACTCAATCATGGAAATAAATGTTTAGATTATTAATTGAATTTGATTTAGTGGAGGAGGATTATATGATGAACGAGGTGAAGGGACAAAGCATGGTAGATGGATAGATTTGTCTGAAAAGTTTGATAAAAATTATTGGGTAACTTTTAATGGTTAATATTAAAATGATAAAAAAGTCGGCAGATGGGATATTGGGAATGGGTAGCAAGGAATCTAAGATTGAAGTAAATAATATTATATAAAATCTGCATCAATATTTAGTGGTGGGGGAGAATATGATGAAAAATGTGAAGGGAGCAAAATAGGTAATTGGATTGAGTTGTCAGATGAATTTAAAAGGTATAACTAAATAGTTTGTAATGGTTAATATCACAATGGTGAGAGAGTTGGGAAATGGGAAAATAAGATAATTCGCAGAAAAGAGACTTGATGAAATTTTAATGATATTTAAATAATAAGATATATTAATATAAATTAAATTTTTACAATTATTTGCTTTATTAATTTTCTTAACCTAAACAACATAAATATTAAAGCAATTATACTTAACATCGAATTCTCTTCTAACTGGATGAATGATAAATCCAAATAAACATTGCTTAATTAACTTGATTATAAGAATAATAAACCTTATTTCTTAAAATAATTTTATTTCAAAGTTAGAGAATCAATTTGATGTAAACTTTATATGAAAAAGCTATCTAGAGCTCTTTTTATAGTTGAGACTATATGAAATAATTTTATTATGGATAGGAAGTTTGTAAGGTTGGATGATCATTAAATGAGATTAAATGTGATGGAAATAGATATCAAATTTAGATTAGTTATACTTAGTTAAACTAAATGAATTAGCATTCTTAATTAAATTGATTGATTAAATATACTATTTGAATTTTCAAATTATATTTAGTGAGAAATGTTAGATCTCTATGGTAGTCATAGAATTAAACTATCATTAATCTATAATTAAACCTGAGATGAATATATTAAAATTTTCGTTCCTAAACTACAATATAGTTGAATCTTACAAAATGCATCTTTAAATCAAAAAAGTTTCTACCATCACCAGAATTAAATTGAAATGCTTCTAAATTAAAGATTGAAGTGTTAATTAGAGTAGATTTTAATATGAAAAAATTCTTAGCTATAAGATCTCCAAACATTTAATTTTCAAATTAAGAAAGCATATTGTAATTTTACATAATTCAAATCCAAAATCAATTATTTAAATCCACTCTGCTATTATAATTTTAGATAATGAATGCACTTGATTGAGTAAATAAATGGTTTATCTCAATCTAATAAAAATTGCTAATGTTAATTGAATATAGAGGTCTTATAAGTAATGTATTAAAAGATATTAATTCAAAATTGATTTAATGTAGAGAGAATATCTTTGATTTTTATAAGGCTTAGGGAGAAAGACTATATATTGCATTTATAAACTCATAGAATAATGTATCTATTATTTTAGATAACTGATATTATGTGCAATTATATTTATCTTATTCCACAAATGAGCCCTAAATTTCGTATTAAAAATAAATACCATAGTCATAGACAAAAGGCCAAAATACAACAATGTATCCAAAATATAGAAATTTTTATTCATAAAAAAGCTAATTTAGACAATTTGATTCTAAGCAATACCTGGCACTTTGCAAATAAGAAATCATAAATTATATTTCAATTTTTAATCGGCCTTAAACATTTCTTGGTCTAAATATAATTTGAATCATCTAAAACATAACTAGGTTATGCGATCTATATTAATAATGATTATAAATTACATAAATCTCATCTGTAGTTCTACTTTAACATATTTAGCATAGTTAAGTGTACTAGGAACACTCTCCTTTTATTAATCTCTTATAGGCTTATAGGCTTATAGGCTGTTATTAATAGTTCAAAGGGCATTTTGCAAAATAAAACTCATCCGCATTTGTTAAACAGGATAAACCACAAAATTTATCACATATAGATTATCCGCCTTATTTATAGCCTCCATGAAATTACACAATTCTCCCTTTAATATATGATTTAGGATAAAAGTATTTATTTGGTAAGTATTGCATCATAAAACTTTAAATTCTTTAAATCCAACCATTATTTAATGAGATATGCCTCAATTACTATTATTGAATTCGTTAGATCATGTTTATAGCAATCTCCACTTGAGTTAGAAGTTGTGTATCCTTCTGAGTATATTATGCATTTTAAAGTTGATTCAGGAGATAACAAACATTATAAACAATTATGAATGTATGTTTTACAGTTTAATATTTCAGGTACAACAGTAAAATCATTAATATCAGAAAAAAGTGCAAACTTCCTGATCATCCTGATTAATATATTCTCTTAAACAATTTGAAAGTTTTGGTTTTTGATAAATACGTTTTTAGTTATGAAATTAAATATATATTGTTGTCCTCACAAAGAGCACAACCTATTTCAAAACTCTCTCTTCCATCAAATTTTCAAAATTACTATACAATGTAACTTTTTTACAATTATAAATTATGTTATTAAGATAAATGAGAAATTAAAGTGATATTCGATTGTATTTTCATAATAATCAATGTCTTTTGAATAGTGTTATGAAAACACCATGTATAATATATTAAAGGTTAGCTTCTCATCGCAAAGAATCTCAAATTTTAGTCAATCAATCTTTGAATAATCAATTAATTTCCTTTTTTTAATTAATTGTATCGCAAATGTTAATAATAAGAGTCAATTATCTGCTTGTGAAATATTTATTATATAATAAGTATATGATTATTAGTGATAATTTTTAAACTCATAAGGAATTACTTAAATATAATTTGAAAAAACTGAGCTCAATATTTTTATTAAATGAAAATATGATGGAAATCTTTGGCAAACTAATAAAATGTTGAAAGATTGTTAAAATTGCTAATAATGAACCAAAGAATGCCAAATACCTTCATTATAGTTCTGAATTAGATAATTAGCTAGTT